GCGACCGGCATGAGTTTAAGCCACCAGGTAAGGGACTAGAACTATGATCAACTACATGGGAGTCCGGTGACATAGCCATTACACTAACTGCTGTTCCCCAGGGATGACATTTTCTCTGAGGCTCTGGGATGTCTTCCTGGCACAGCCCAACTGTGGTCCAGAGATACAGGGCTACAGTCAGGCCTACAGCCTTATGGTCTGGAGGCTAGAGGTCCCCTTGTACTCTACTGATTGTTCAGAGAGCATGGGGCCTGGACACATGCCACACAGAGTCTGGCTGGTGGGTGACAGCACCTCTGCCAAGTTCCTGTGTGCTCCCCTCAGAGCCTATGTCTGACATCTGAGCCAGTAGCCAGGGCTGCAGTGAGCGGTCAGAGGGACCCAAAGGTGGGGTAATCAGCTCTGCAAACGAGGTTGGCTAGACACCTCTGCATGTGAAGAACAATAAAACCTACCCATGTTCCAACACAGGGAGATCCTGCTTTAGCGGCTGCCTTATAAATAGAACGAGATGATAGCCTTTCTCAAGAGGGCAGACAGCAGCACGCGCTTCCTGGCCTTGTCTCCCCAAAGCCAGAGAACAATAGACATTTATTTTCACTTCATTTTGTCTGGGACACATGTTCTGGGATGCCTCTGCTGTCTCTCGAGTTCCCTGAGTTTCTGAGTCACCTGACTAGCGAGCAGGCTTATCATGCCTGTGGATCACCTCGGCTTGTCCCTGCAGAGATCTAGAGGGTGTGGCCGGGCCTTGGTTCCACGCAGAGGTGGAAGGCGGCACAGCAAGAGGACTAGGGCAGAGGACGCCTGGGGCTCAGGTGGAGCCCTGGGGTTGAAGGACTGCGGGTGTGGGTCAGGGCGGCTAAGCCCTTGGTCTCAAGGTTCAGACCTGCCCAGAACCATCTTCCACCAAGTGCAGAGCAAGCACGACTCGGGAAGGTGGGATGGAGCAGTCTCACTTGCACGTTCATGGCGCCCAGTGGCTTTTAGACGTAACAAGTATAATGGAGACAGACAAACCTGGGTTCGAGTTCTGCTTTGCCACTTAATAGGTGTACGACTCTGCACAAGCCACTTGTCCATCTGGGCCTCAGCTTTCTCACTTATAATGTGGGGATCACACCCATCCTGATGGGTGCCCAGTAACGTCATGTGTGACTGAGCCACTCTGTCACCTCGTCTTGAGCCTTCCTTGTGACTCAGTCTATTCTAGTCCCATGGGGCCCTCTGTCTGTCGACAAGCTGAGGACTCCCACAGACCATCCCGCTGATGTGAGGTTAATGCCCCTATCATCCTCCCACTCGGTATGTCATGGCTAGCACCTCGAGAGCCCCGCTGATGGCCAAGCACTGTTCCCTCTGCTTTGTGAGTCTTATCTTCAATACCACCCTTACTCGTGTGGAAAGAGCTCTTATTCCCCCCCATTTCACAAATATAAGGAACTGAGGCACAGGGTAGCCTCTTGCCTAGGGTCATGGGTAGTAAGGGGAAGGGCTGAGATTCAAACGCAGGTAAGCGCACCACAGACCTGCCTTCCTCACTACATTCTACTGCACCACGCCCTTGTGCTCTCTGAAATGATCTTACTTGCTTGTTTATGGGTTGTCTCCTCTGACTCATTCGTTAGCTACGTGAGGGCCAAGTCCTTGATGGTGCTGCGTGCCACTGTGCTCCCGGAGCTTGGAACACAGAGAGTCTCTTTCTTATCTCATTGGTCACCTCTAGAGGTTGCTAGGGGACCATCTCATTATTCTGAAAACTGCACTTATCCTAGCTTCTCTGTACAAATTATCCTCAGAGTAACCAAACAGTCATGGAAGGGAAGTTCTTAGTTTATCATTATTATCTTTAATTGTCATAAGGCATATGCATTCTCCAGAGAGAGAGGGAGAGGGGGGAGAGCAATCCCAATAGTGCAGGGTCGCACCACAATCCCTTCTCCTCCATTGCTCCTTCCTGTTGCATGCCTGCACACATGCCTGGTGCGTTGTTCAAGCTGCTAGGGCTGGGATTTGAACTGCACAGCTGGCCATGTGGTGATGGGGTTGACCCCAAAGGAAAGATGTTTATAGGAGAATTCCAGTCAGTAAATGAAGAAGGGATGATTGAGGCATCACTCTTCTACAACACATACTAAGATAATGGATCTAGGTCGTAGCACGGAGAGCTGCTGTGCCGTGACATGGAGCGCTGAGGGGGACGATGACGACGGGCCAGGCTGCCACCATCTGAACCCTCTGAATGTTCTCACTGCCATTTCCAGAGGAACACCAGACAGTGCCTTCAGCTGTGGTGGTGCAACACACTGGCCATGCATGGGCCAAGATCATGGCTGGCTGGAAGTCTTTGGGGGACTGTGGTGCGATGAGACTCTGGAATATGTTGTTTCTCTTTTTGGGGCAATAAAACAAACTTTAAAAACGGAAAACAGAGGGTCAGCAGGTGGTGTAGTGGTTAAGGTCCCAGATTCTCACAATAGCTGACCACGGTTTGAGTACCGGACCTTGAAGGTTCAAAATCACACCAGGCATATGTGCATGTGTGCCAAAAGTCCTGAGAGAAGGGATTGTGGCATGGCCATCTCCCAGGGGGTGATTTCTCACTTTCTCTCTCTCTGGCAAGCACACGCACCCTATAGCAAAATCTAAAAAAAAAGGGGGGGCCAGTAGCATGAAGGTTATATCTCTGGACTCCTACATAGTTGACCAGGTTCGAGTCTCAGGCCCAGCGGTTTAAAACTTATGTTGAAGGACCATGGTGTAATGGTTACATAGCTGGACTCCCATGTAGTCGACTATGGTTCAAGTCCCGGGCCTGGCAACTTAAAATTGATGCTGGGTATGAGTGTGTGCAAGCCCAAAATTCTGAGAGGAGACTGGAGGAGAAGGGAGAAATCACATTTCTCGCTTTGTCTCTCTATTTCTCTGTCTCTCTGATGAGCACATGCGCCCTATAGCCAAAATCTCTCTTAAAAAAAAAAAAATCCCATAAAACCTCATGCCGAACATGTATGCATATGTGCCCAAAATCCCGTGAGGAGATTGGAGTGGAAGGGATTGTGGTGTGGCCCTCCTCTCTTGGGGGTGATTTCTGGCTTTCTGCCTTTTTGTCTCTTTGGCAAGCACACGTGCCCTAGAGCAAAAATCTCTCTTTTAAAAAAAGAAAGAATGAAAAACAGAGTCAATCAGGTGGTGTTGGTAGTTAAGGTAGCTGGATCCCACGCGGGTGACTATGCAGTTCAAGTCCTGGACCTGGTAGCTTGAAAAACGCACTGGGTGCCTGCCCAAAATCCTGAGAAGAGAAGGGATTATGGTGTGGTCATCCTCCAGGGAGGTACTTTCTCACTTTCCCTCTCTCTTTTTCTCTCTCCAGTGAACACACATGCCCTAAGGTAAAACTAAAAAAGGAAAAGAAAAGAAAAACAAAGAACTGGCCACATGTTAAAACTAGTCAGTATAACTAACTTTAAGATGTTCTATCAAGGGCCCAGAAGGGGGCAGAGTAGTTAAGGTGTTAGACTCCCATATGGCCAACTGGGGTTCGAGTCCAGAACCTGGCAGCTTGAAACTCATGCTGGACAGAAGTGCATGCCTGCCCAGGGTCCTGAGAGGAGAATGGAAGAGAAGGGACTGCAATGTGGCCATCCCCAGTGGGGAGGGGGCGAGGTACTTTCTCTCTGTCTTTCTGTCTCATGCTAATGCATGCACCCTACAGCAAAAATCTCGCTCTTGGAAGAAAAAACGATGTTCTATCTAAAAGGGCTCCCCATTGTGCTTAGAATAAAACTCAAGCTGCCCCCAAGGACCACAGAGTCCCATCATCTGCCATGTCACTTCTCTGACCTTTCCTCTTACCCTGTTCACTCGCTCTAGCCACAAGGGCCTCCCGTGCTCCATGCCACACCTACTTGGTGCTTTGTCCTGGCTAGCCTGACCGCTGGCCCAGAAAACTGTAGGCTGCCTCCACCACAGAGCCTACGGGAACCTTCTCCGCCTACTCTGTAAGCAGCTTCCCTCTCACACTGTAACCCCTGTTTACCCTGCTTTAATGTCCTCTTTAGAACTTATCACTACCTGATCCTGTATGACACACTTATTTATTTATTGCCTGTCTGTCCTGGTGGAATACACACTCCAGGGGAGCAGGCGCTCTGCTGCGTTCACCACTTGCACCTCCAACACTTCCAATGGAGTCTGTGCAGAGCAGGGGTCCAACAAACATGTGCTGGAACAAAGTGCATAGTATCCTTGGGCAAGTTACCCTTCTTTCTTTCTTTCTTTCTTTCTTTTTTTTTTTTAAATTACTTTATCTAACTTTATTTATTCTTATCTATTTATTTTATATTATTTAATTTTACCAGAGAGGGACAGAGTGAGAGAGGGGGAAAGTGAAAGAGCAAGCTGCCAGGTCCAGGTCTCGAACTGTGGTCGGCCATGTGGGAATCCAGCATCCTGAACCGCCACACCACTTGCCTGCCTCTCCTTTCTTTCTTTTTAAAAAGTTTATATTATTCGTGTCTTCTGAGAGAGAGTAAGAGAAAGGGAGACAGGCACCCCCTAAATGAGTCTCATGCTGGAACCCACGCCTAGTCTCAGCCAGCCCAGATCATGGCATGTGTGCCTGGAACACTCAGGGAGGTCCTGGATGGAAACCGGACCTTTCCCACGTGGGTACAGTTGCACTACCAGCGCACCACCATCCGGCCCTTCTGGCAAGTGACTTCTAACGCTGTGTGCTTCATTCAGAAAATGGGAATAATGCTACTACCTAGCTCATGGGATCGTGGAATTAACTGAGTAAGACACACAGAAAACATAAACTAGTAACTAACACACAGTGAGTATCTATAGACACTCCTATCCAGTCATCCTGAGCACTCTTCCTGGTGAGAAAGGGCCTTTGCTCAGGCCTCAAGTGACAGCACCAGGGCGACCTCATGCCAGCGTTTGGGTGCTGTCAAACCTTCCAGGCTCCTGTCCTTCAGAGTCGATGCCCTTACCTGCGGGGCGTGCCATCGTCGAAAGGTGGGATGATGACCACCTTCACGGTGACGGAAGTACGCAGCAGGTCGATCATCTGGTCGTGCGTCAGCGTGACCACAGCCACTTTGCAGATCTCCACCAGCCGGCTCCCCTGCCGGAGGCCAGCCTGCCAGGCGAACCCGTAGTCCTCCACCTCGGCCACTGTTCCATCGTACTTTACATGGAAGCCCAGCTGCCCGAGCCCGTTCCGCCGCAGGGTCATGTCCACCGTCTCCCAGCCATTGGTCATCACCTGCAGGCAATAGAAGGGATCTAGCCTTAGAGCCGTTTGAGCCGGCTGTTCTGGAAGACCCCGGTCAGAGGCCTTCCCTTGGATACCAGATGCCTTGCTGACTTCCACTTATCCTCCCAGGTGGTGCCGAGGTTCCAGGAGTGTGATAGCCACCTGGTGCCAGCCTGGGTTCCTGATTTCTGGACAGGAAGCAAGCATACGCAACTCTATGGCTAGCTATCCCACTGAGACGGCAGAGTCCTCTGCTGCATTCTCCAAATGGCTCTGCCTCCCCTTTTCTGGTGTCTGTTGGGACTGCTCTCTTACTGGCCCCCTTGTGGTCAAGTAGTAGGAAAATTGGGAGTGGAACTGGCATGCTGTCTGGGCTGGGGTATTTATTTGCCAGTGTGAGGCCCTGCATAGGCCTCTTCCCTCTGCTGTACAGACCAGGTATGTTTTAGACCATAGTGGCTATTTACCAGCTGGGGGTCCAGCACAGGAACAACGTGGAGCAGAGACCCCCCGAACTCAGGGTTGTGGCATAGACAAGAACTAAATCTTTGTTCATATTTAAACCACTAATACCTGTTGACTGACACAATCTAACCAAAGCAATTGAGAGAAGCAACAGGCCAGCAATACTGTGATCTTTTCTAGACTGAGGGTCAAGCCATATGCTTGCTTCTTAATGTCATTCGGGGAGGCACAAACCCATCCTGAGTCTCCTCAGACCTTCCCCAGCTTGAGACCGACCATACCACACAAGGTCTTGCCTCCCATGACTTCCTGCTCCACTTGTGTGAGATTTTTTCCCTGTGACGATGTATTACGGTCAGTTAAGAGGACTCGCTGAATAGACCCTTCCAGCCCCTACCATGCCATCACCGATTTCCCCTTCTTAGAATTAAAATAGATGAACGTAAGCTATGGCTATTAACTAAGTTACATCAGAATCTGCCTGTCCTATCCTAAAATCTCATTAAAGAGAATATGTTATGGTTCAAATTTCCTGTGAGAAGTCATTCCCTGGCTAGAAATTACTCTATTTAATGTACCTAAGAGAGCACTGGCTTTCACACTTGTTTGACCACCAAGAAATAATTTTATGTCACAAACTGCTCTACACATTCATACATTTGCACACCCAGACACAGACACAAATATTCCTTGCGTTCCAAATATTGGGTTGTCAGGATAGTTATGATGCATTTTTGCATAGAAAAATACATCGTGACTTTCCAGTTGACCTAACAGGTTCCATTCTTCAGTTTGGACCATAAGAGGTAAGAGTTTGGATAGCAGAGGACTTACCTGAGAATGTCACCAAGAATTTGGGTAGTGGGGGAAACAGGTGTGACTAAAACAGCCTTCAGGAAATAGTGCTTATCTTTACTTGCTGAGCTATAGCTGTATCTGTTCTCTCTCCTACCCTACCGCTACAGTAGAGCCCTCGTGGTTGGTAGTGTCCTTATAAGAGAGGCCCAAAGGAGCCCATTCACCTCTTCAGCCATGTGAAGACACAGCAAGAGGAGCCATCTAAGAACCAGATCGTAGCCCCTCACCAGACACTGGACCTGCTAGGACCCTGATCTTGGGTTTCCAGCCTCTGGAACTATGAGAAATAAAATTCTATCATTTATAAGCCACCACCACTAAGTCTTGTTATAGCAGCTGGGACAGACTGAAACATCTATTCTTTAAAATTGTTGATTAAGACCCTGTAATTGATTTCATAGTCTTTTCAGAGGAGGCAACCTTTGTCTGAATTTTGAACAATAAGGAGTTATTTTTATGTTTGATAATGACAAAATGGCTAATTTTTCGAGTAGCATTTTTTTTTTTTGAGAGATTTTCACTATAGGGTGCGTGCGCTCGCCAGACAGACAGAGAGAGACATAGAGACAGAAAGCAAGAAATCACCCCCCAGGGGGGATAGTCACGCCACAATCCCTTCTCCTCCATTCTCCTCTCGGGATCTTGGGCACGCATGCACACGCGCCCGGCGTGAGCTTTAAGCCACCGGGTCCGGGACACGAACCGCGGTCGACTACGTGGGAGTCCAGCGACATAGCCATTATGCTAACTGCTGGTTCCCTCGAGTAGCTTTTAAAGATAAATATTGACATGTTTGCAGATGAAATGATATATCTAGACTATGCTTCAAAACAACCAAGAGGAAAGTAAAGGAGAAAAGAAGAAACAAGACTGACTGTGGGCCAGTGACTGTTGAATCTGGTAATGGGAACAGGTGTTTGTATACACTTCCCTCTAGTTTCGTGTATGTCTGGAATTTTCCATAACTGAAAAGTAAAAGTGGTTTCAAAGGAAAGCTGACTGTGTAGTGCCTCAAAAGAGAAAGTTGTGGGGACCAGGAGGTGGCATGGCAGTTAAGGTGTTAGACTCCTACATGGACAACTGTGGTTCGAGCCCTGGACCTGGTGGCTTGAAAAATCACACTGTGTGTGTGTGTGTGTGTGTGTGTGTGTGTGTGTATGTGTGCTCCAAGTCCCAAGAGGACAGTGGAGGAAAAGGAATTGCAGCATGGCCTTTGGAGAAGGCCCTGCCTTCCACAGAGGACTGAACAGTATTGAGGCAACAGCTCAATGAGCACTGTAGTGGTAAGTACTGTCACTTGCCATCCGTTCGTCCCTTCACCTTTTTTGTAATAAGAGCCACCCTCCACCTCCCACATTCTGTACAAAACAGTTTTCATGCACATGGGCCACCACGTCGAGAACCACATTTCTCAGATTCTCCTGTAGCTGGGTATGGACATGTGACTTGGTTTTGGCCAACAGGATATGAAGTATGGAACATCTACCTGTATTCTTAAAGACAAGACTGCTGGGGCCAGCAGATGGTGTGGAGTTTAAGGCACTGGATTCCACGTGGCCTACTCTGTAGTTTGAGTCCTGGACCTGGCAGCTTAAAAATCATGCCAGGTGCATGAGTATGTGTGGCCAAAATCCTGCAAGGAGAATGGAGGAGAAGAAACTGTAGCATCGCTATCCCCCTATGGGAGTGAATTCTCACTGTCTCTTCCTTCCTCTCCCTCTGTCTCTCTCTGGCAAGTGTACATGCCCTATAGCAAAAAAATTAATTAAATTATAATTTAAAAAAATGGCTTGTCTTCCACACTTCTGTTTTCTCCCTTCCTATACATGGAAACGTGGTTACGAAATGACTTAGCTTTGGCCATGTAGGTAAGTATAATATTTATCTTTAACACAAAGGAAACAAGGAGCCATAGATGGAAAGGACATGAGGTCTTGGGATGTCCTTGCCAGCCTCCCCCAATCTAAGTGTTAACTAAGAGAGAAATTAACTCCCATCATATTTCGGCTAGTGGACCTTTTAGTCTCCCTGTTTTAGCAGCTCAGTCTGTAACTACCTACTACAGCTGCTTTGGATCATTTTAGATGAGGAAGAGACGTGCTCTCCCATGTCCTCAAACTTCTATCTCTGCTTCTACAGCCAATCAAAGGAGGCCCCACACAAAGAAGAGAACCATTTATGATATTTTTAAGGTTCCAGAAAGGACACAGGGCACAGAGAGCACCTAATGACACCAAATACGCACACCCATTCAAAGAAATCTCTGCTGTGTCATGCAGCCACACTGCTCCAGCCCCTGCCCCCCACCCCCGGCTTTTCCTGAGGGCTGATCTGTGTGCCAGGCACACAGATTTGTGGCCCAATTTCACTGATATTGCACTTAGGAGGCGGGTACAACCAACCTGCCTATTTTACAAAGTAGGAAACTGAGGGTGATGTCAGGCGCCCAAGATCATAAAGCAGATGGCTCTTTAGCCCCTATCTTGAGTCACTCTGCTATATTTGCTGCCAAGTTGCTTCGAATTTTCTTCTTTTGTTTCATTAATTTTGTTTATTTAAAAATGAGGCAGCCCCCTCATTCTTCACCAGGATAATTTCTTTCTTTCTTTTCTTTTCTTTTTTTTTAAACATTGCTGGAAGGCATGTGTGCTTCACAGAGAGAGAGGGAAAGGGAAAAAGCAACCCCCAATGTGGCATGGTCATGCTGAATTTCCTTCTCCACCATTTCTCCATCCTGTGCACACGAGTGCTTGGCATGCTTCTCAAGCCGTAAGCGCTTGAACAGCAGTTGGCCATGTGGAATCTGGCTCTGCTAACCACTATGGGGTCAGTCAGTACCAGTATAATTCTTACTTTTCGTTCTAGTCTCATGTAAAAAATCATTTCTGGTGGTTAAAGTGCTAGACTCCCATGTAGCTGATCGCAGTTTGAGTCCCAGACCCAGTGGCTTGAAACTCATGCTGGTCGTGTGTGTGAGTGTGTGCCCAAAATCCTGAGAGAATGGTGGAGAAGGGATTGTGGTGTGGCCACCCCCCTGCGGGGTGAGTTCTTACTTTCTGTCTCTCCAAGAAGTACATGCACCCTTACAGCAAAAATCTCTTTAAAAAAAAAAAAAAGTCATTTCCTTGGGGCAGGGGACCCTCCCACCCAGCTGGGTCCTGCTCATGAGCTCAGCGCTTGCTGGGGGATGAAAATAAGAGCTGTGGGCAGGTGAGGGTCATGTCCAAATAGTGTACTTGTACCTGTAAAAAGGGGCACAGACTGTCCCACTTTTGCTGACCATTCTCTGTACAAATATGAGCCCAGTATAATCAGATCGCCCAAGTTCTCAAGAGAAACCAGCAAGTCAGATTCATACGAAACCTTCCAAATGTTAACAAAATATACGTGTGTGGAGGCTGTATGCAACCTGCGGATTGAGTCCTTCTCAGCCTAAGTTATCTGCACAAGCTGCGAGGCCCACAAGGGCAGGCCTAGGGCGATGTGGTCACTGTGTGTCCTGGCACTGCGAAAACCCACTGAATTCACAAAGGAAGTGATGCGGGTAGTTTAGGCTGTCTGGGGTGGTTGAGTGAGGCTGCCTTGATCTGAATCCCAGCTCTGCCAGGGGTGGGTATGACTTCACAAAGGAAAGACTCACTGTCCTGAGTTGTGGGCCTGCCCCTTCATAGAATATGGCTTATGTT